GTTGAGTGCAGCAGAGTGCAGCTGAAGCGACTTGATGGGGACCGCAGGATTATGAGGGTAAGAAGAACTATCTTACAGCTATGCAACGGCGTTAGGGGTTGTGGCCGGAGGCGGCCAATATGTGACATGATCGAACTGCGCAAGAAAGATGTGTCCAACGAGTCTCGGCCACCCAGCTGCAGGGAAACATTCCAACAGAAAGCAGATCTTGCACGGCAGAAAGAACGGCACACCCCCCCCAGCTCCTGAACCTGAGAACGTGATGACATCACGCTGTGCATGAGAACGCACTCAACAAAACAAAAAGCAGAAGCTCTTGCAGTGGATCCGGAAGCTTCACAGCTGAAGTGTGCTGCAGCGCACAGAGCAGAGGCAGAGGCAGCTTGGAGGAAAAAGGGGAAGGGGCGGCAGTCGGCATCGGCGTGGAGGGTTGGCAGCAGAGCCCACGTTCTTTGTTTTGTGTTTTCTCCCCTCTCTTTAGCACGTCTGCGCGCAAGAGCAAAGGGCTGGTAGCGTTGCGCAATGCCGCGCACCTTCTGGACAGAGTGGGGTCCGAAGCGGGAAATCGGAAAGTGGGACGGAAGGTGTCTTGCAGAGGCTAAGAATGGCTAAGAATGGCTAAGCTTTAAGGGCAGTTCGGAACTCGTCGTTTCGAGGAAGATGCTTATGAGAGTGGCCAGATGGAAGCGAGCGTACGGCGAAGAGGACTGGCCGGGCATGCTCGGATGCGCTGAGTCCTCGCTTTGTTGAAGCTCACGCTTTTGTGAGGACCCCGAGAGCAGGAGCTGCTGCCTGTGCGGTTTTTTGTGCTGGTCAAGTTCAGAATAGTTCGTTCGTTTGAGGGGGGTTCCTCTTGTGAATGTCTTCCTGGGTGCGTGCATCTGCGTATCATTGCGTATCCCACAGCGTAGCATATTGCAGGCCGTCATGGTGCTGGATGCATCCCAGCAAGGCATCTCGCAGGGCTTGAAAAGTTCAATCTGTCAGACGGCCCAGAGGGCCTTGCTTCCCTCGCGAAGAATGTGCCAATTGCCTTACGATCAGAATCCCTGTCATCACATGCTCTTCCCCAATTGCACTGACCGTTTCTGTGCCCTAGAGACTTATAGTTTATATGGAATATTGTCTTTTGTCACTTGCGCGGCATGCCCCTGCGCAGGGCACACGTCCTCCGAATGCTCAGCTGCATCGCTGATACAGGCGCTGCTTTTCTCAGCGTGTACTGTCTTTGCAAAGAGGGCAACTCTCGGTGATCTCAGAGGATTTGCGAGACTATTTTCTGGTCATTTTTAGAAGGGCCCCCATCTCTGAGCAGCTTGGGTTGTTGACCGCTGAGCCGCTGAGCTGCTGAGCCCGCGCGCGTGCCTGGTTTTGCTGACTGGTTCGGTTTTTTTGGGAGGCCGCGTGCCAGGGCTACCTCATGCAGCTCAAGCTCTTGTGGCTTCGGGACAGCTCGGTTTCAGCCTCAAGGAAAAAACAGTGTGAAAGCAGTGTGGCGCGGCGCGCGGCTACAAGTTTCTCCAGCGAAGAAAAAGACCCAAGGCTCTATGCAAACCTCAAGGAGCCCAACGCGTGTCGGCAGAGACTGCTGCGGTCAGAGATTCGGTTGAGACACGAACAGAACAGCTGCGTTACAAACCACCTCTTTCAGCCACCGAGCCACTATGAGCCACTTGTGCAAGGTCTTAGCTGCGATGCAGCTGCAAGCGGCATGGAGAGGGTTTCGAGCGCAGGCCGGGCAGATGAGCTCTCTCTCTCTCTCTCTTCAGAAGCACATTGTCCTCCTGTCTCTCCCCCTCTCCTTTTGTTTCTTGTCTTGTTGCCTCTCTCTCTCTCTCTGACCGAAAAAGCTTCGGAGGCGACCAGGCCGACACCAGGCCAAGAGTCGAGAGAACTTTTTGGTGTGTGTGTGTGTGTGTGTGTGTGTGCGTGTGTGTGTTGTTTTTTTTTTGCGTTGGGGGTGTTTGGAGTATCGCTGCCATCGCTTTTTGCAGCTCTTGGAACGCCGTGCCGCTTGCAGGCCGAGAGCGTCGCCTGAGCCGAGGTCTCCCTCCCCCAGGACGCAAGGCCGGATGCATCCCGATGCATCTGAAGAGCAGGGAGAGGCAGAAAGAAGCAGGGGATTGCGTTAGGCAAAGAAGAAGCTCTTTTGCGCATCTTGCGTTCTCTGCCCAGGCCCCTCCCCGCCGCCGCGTCGAGGTCCGGAGAGTGTTTTTCTTTTTTACATTCCGTCACAGGGATAAAAGTGATAAAAAGGGTGAATCGCTGAAGCATTAGTGACACCATCGCTGCGAGTCGTCTCGTGTGGTGCCTCAGGTGGGAGTTTGCACCCTACAATCCGCACCGGCTTCGGGTAAACGGGTCGACCTGCGCAAGACGAAAGCTCCGAAAGCAGAAACGCCCAAAGTTGGGAAAGCCGGGTCTCCGACGGTTCTGTGAGTTCACTGCAAAGCAGGTGCAGCCACAGCCACCAAGTGCTCCCCAGGAGGGCAGCAGCCCCAGAAATCCGAAATCCGACCGAAGAGATGTCTTTTTTTCTCCGCCAAATCTCCCTGAAATGTCTCGGAGTCGCCGTCTCAATCGTCTCAACTTGAGAGCTCAAGGCGAGGAGCCCTCCGAGGAGAGCGACCGCAGCCAGGAGCTGGAGTCACCACGGATGCTTAAGAGACGTTAAGAGACCTTTTAAAGCCTTTATAAGCCAAGCCCCCCAGCTTGTTTTTTGAAGGCTTTTAAGCAAGGCCCGGCCATGTGCAGAGTTGGTGGGGGGGGGGGTTGAACGCAAGAAACGAGGGTCGAACAAGCAGCGGCTCGGCACATGCGAGTTTGGCCTCTTCTCCTATCTTCTCCTATCTTCTCCTGTCTTCTCCTGTCTTCTCCTATCCTTTTCCTATCTTCTCCGTTCCTTTTTGTTTTTTCTCGCTACTTTGAAGCTGGCTTCTTGGCTACCGCGCAGAGGCGCACTGTGAGCCTTTGGATCTCGAAGCTTGGCAGCTCCTCCCCAAGTGCACCACTGATTGGAGCTCAATGCAGAGACGCACACGGGAAATAGTCCTGAGCCAGAGGGTCAGAGGTGCGGCAGACATGGCCCAGGAAAGACAAGGCAAAAAGAGTGTACGAACCCCACGAACCCAAGAACTTCACGAATCTCAGTCCTCAGCCCCATTCCCAAAGGAGAAGAGACGAAGCGATCGCGCCGCACCTTTCGTGCCACGCGTTGCCTCTTTCGAGGAGCTGCGCCGAGCCAGGCGACAACCATCAAAGGGCCCGAGCATGCCTCAGGGATTGGAATCGCAAGGTCCCTCCAAATTCACCACTTTGTTCTTTTGCTTAGGTCCGAGCGCCCACCTTCTGTGCCCCGCGGTGCTCCGCGCAGGTCAAGTGCGCTGAGCCATGCTTCCTAGGTCTCTGTGTGAGGCTGTAGGGTGGGCTCTTTGTCATGTCTTTTTGCCTGCCCCAGGCGCCGCCGTGCTGAGCAGGTGCGATGGGCTCTCCAACAGTTCGCATGAATTCTCCCTGACAGGTCTGGGAGTTGCTTCCATGAGCTTCCTTCCTAAGTCCAAGTTGATGCATGTGAGGAGATCCCGGCTCCGCAGAGCGGTGGCGGCTTGCCGAGGTGAGGGGTGGGGGGGGAAAGCCGAATCCAAATCGGGAGAACCCTCTCTTTCAGATATGCATATGTACGTAGGAACACGCAGGACCTTCAGGCTCTATTTCACAGAAATGTGAGATGAACAGACGCATTTTGCGGTTATTACAATATTCAAAATCTTATTACTTTCCTCGCCTACTATATCTGGAAATTAACGGAACCCTTTTTTGCTCACAATCCAATAATTCGGGAACCCCTTATAACAGCCTATAAACGTGTGCGTGAATGTCCTTCGAGACCCCCTTCATAAAAGCGTGTAAAAGAAAGGAGTGAGTGCTCTCTTCCCCCTTCCTCTTTCGTCACTTGTCTGGCAGGAGCAAGTCTGTCTTTTACACAGCAATCATCTGCAAGGAGAAAAACAGAAGAGAGGAGTTCTGTGGCTCCACATCTATCAAACTTTATCCGTTGACTGATGATTATATACATATACGGAAGAGAGTGTAGAGAGGAAACCTTTCCACACGTTTTCATGTAAAAACGAACGATTCCGAATCAAGCAATGAGTCAGAAAACAGATGAAGGAAGATGGCAGGAACAAGAAACTGTTGTCCCTTCCGGAGGTTCCATCTTCTTTATCATTTCCTCTTTGTCTTTGTCTGGCGAACGGGGAAGGGTGCTGAAATAGGAGGGAAACTCTGGGGAGGACGGGCCAGTTGCTCTTGAAGTGCAATGGCTGAGCGTGTTCTTCTATAGGGGCTGATCCTGAACCGTGACTTTGAAATCTAGCCTGGCTATGCAAATTTGGCAGTTGCTTTTTCCATGGCATTTAGCCTCGTCTAACTTAGCAATAGTATTTTCATTGGCTTCATGAACAGGACTTAAAGGATAGTACTGTTGATATTGCGGCAAGTGTAAATTGTAAATCGCTTCATCTATTACCCGGTCGATGTAATTCAAGTGCAAATCATAATTCAAGTTAAAATCGTGCCCCAATGGCCTTTTAACACATCATGGGGTAAAGCGGGATCTCAGCCTTGACCTCCCCTACAGGTAAATGGTGATACCCCTCTTAGCGCCGAATGTCTTGCGGATCTTCTCTTATAGTTAATGAGTTGGAAACTCATTAGTGCAAAGGTCGAAGATCGCCTAGAATTCCAAGATCCAAACAGACAAAACCCTTGCAGTGAAACCGTAGGAGCACAGTGACTCAGACCATTTGCTTTGCATTTGGCTCAAGGGCGAAAAGGCGTGAGAGTGCGACAGATTGCAAATCCGTGAATCTTGGCGATATCTCGTGGTTATCAGCCGTACTGCTCCTCGGCGGTGCGGCCTCCTGCTTTTTCGGCTCCTCCTGCTTGGCGCTGACGCTGGGTGCGGCCAGTTTGGAAGCTGCGCTGTGGAACTTGCTTGCATGTCAGAGAGAGAGACAGAAGAAGTTCCGTCTTCGACCAAACGCAAAGCCGAGCGCCTAGATTCCACTGGACGCCCGTTTGTGTTGACGCATAGAGGTGGTAAGAAGAGCAAGCGCCAGCAAGAGCTGCGCCAGGCAGTCTTAGAGGGGGCATATCAGCCCCAGGCTGAGTGGTCTGAGCAAAAGAGGTTAGAATACGCCAAGCTCTTGTCGATTCAGGAACGCAGAAAGGAACTTGACCGCCTGGAACGAGAGGCCCAAGAGGGCTTCGTAGCTGCTGGCGGCGGTGTGGTGCCGGGTAGTGGAGTGAGATCTGAAGCGTCTGGGCTCCGAACTGGTGGTTTGGACCGGCTGGCGGTGAGCGAAGGCCCGCCAGCTAGCCTAGCGGGGGCTGAGAGAGAGGGAAAGGGAGAGAGGGAGAGAGAGAGATCCCCAAAGCGCGCGCCTGCGCGACCCATTCCCTCAAGTAGCGTGTCTTCAGATCGGCCTATACCCTCAAGAGGCCTCGCTCCAACACAGCCCAAAAGGACTAGCATCCCGAAGCACGTGCGTATTCCTTCCACTCCGGTTCCCACCAGTGCCCCGGAAACTCCAGTGCTCTCCGAAGAAGCCTCAGTAGAAGGTTCCACGCCGAAAGCCTCTGAGGTTCCTGCAAAGAAGGCCCCAGCGCACTTGAAGGACACCAAAGGTGCCGGTACCAAGGGCAAAGCCAGGGCCCAGGACTCACCAAAGACAAAGGCTCCCCAGTCTGAAGCCACAAAGGCCCCGAAAGCACCCCCGAAGTCCCGTCCTGCAACTTTCAAAGTCTCAGCTGTCACTCCGCCGGAACCAAAGGGGTCCAAGGCAAAGGCCCGCCCGAAAGAGAAGTCTGTCCCAAAGCCCACAGTAGCTGCTAGCTCACGGGATCCCGTGACGGTTGAAGTTGACGTAGAGCTCGAAGAGCCTGAAGCCCCGCGCGCTGCAAGGCCCGAGTCTTCCGTTGCTAAGGCTTCCTCCACACCCGTGGTGTTGCGTCCCCGTGCAGGGTCACTGGCGGATCCGAGCAGCACTGCGTCCAGGGCTCCCCAAAGCAAGGGAAAGAGGGCTTCGGAAACGGTTGAGGCGTCCCAGGGCACCATTCGTGTGATCTTGGACTATCACGGGGTTCTGGACTGTGACGTTGCTCAAACCACCAAGCGTGAGCGTTTGTGGTTCTGTAACACTGGGATTCCCGAGGCCACTCAGGACCTTTTGGTTGAGGCGTTGGACAACACCCCAGGGTTAGAGTTCTTGGTGCTGAGCTACGTAGGAAAGAGTTCCTACGAAAAGAGGCAGGAGGTGATTAACCGAGTCCGTAAGTTTGCTCGCTACGCAGAGCAGCGTGGGCACCCGGGGAAAGTAAAAATCTCCATCTGCGATCGTCGCGAGGACAAGCAAGACGTTGCTAAGCACTGTAGGCCTGTTGTTGCTGTAGACGACAACTGGTGGATCGTAGAGTCGTACTACGAGCACGTTAGGAGAGCGTACTGGTTCTGCCCTAACTTCGACGAAGAAGAAGCCCCGAAGGGTTGCCACGTTGTGTTTAGTTGGAGCAAGGTTCTGGACTTCGTGAAGGGTTGTGTCAGAACCAAGACTCCAACTAGGTGGAAAGATCTCAGTTCGGCAGCCTAGGCTTCTTCGCCTGGCTGCCGCCCTTGGCGCTGCTGATCCCACAGCGGCTGCCCAATGGAAGAGTCTTCGCTAGAGTACAGTGGATCGTCTCGGTCTGCTGCGCCCGGGGTAGTTGCAAGCCGTGTTAGCAGTCCTGTTGGTTCGGGTAGTTCTTCGTCCGTCGTCGCAGTTCGAAAAGACCCAAAGACTCGTATAGGGATAGACCGGGTTCCTTCTCTCGAGAGCTGTCTGCGCGGCGTGCGGAGCAGAAGACGCCCCCTAGAAGGCCCATGTCAATGGAACTCGAACCAAGAGAACAAAGCATGGCTGAGACAGCGCAGGGTTCACAGCCCCATACCATTGCACAAGTGTTTGCTGCCAGACAGGGTGACAGAGTACAACACAACCAGCACTTTGAACACCATGAACAGCAAGACATGCGCAGAGTTGATGTGACCAACCAGGTTTTGCAAAGTATGACCAACGTCAAGTTCACATTCATCAAACGCAAGAACATGATGTCGTTCTCGAAGCCGCCAGGCATGTGGTCGCTGCAAACGAACGAGTGACGGCTGTAGAAGCAGAAGCCCTTCAGGCCGTTGTTCAGGCGAGAGGTCAAGCAGAGGCGGTAGCGCAAGAGGCTCGTACACAGGCGGAAATTCTTTCGGTTCGTTTTGCCGCAGAAATTCAAGCAGCACAGGTGCGGGAACAGTGCCTGTTAGAACAACTTGAGAGTCTGAAACAAGAGCTCGCAAGAAGAACCCCCGTCGAAGAGCCTCGAGGCCCACCAGAAGAGCCCCAAACCACCAGCCTGGAGAGCCCGTCACCAAGCCCCAATGGCGCGGATACACATTCACACAGAGATGTTTTGCTTCGACTTGCGCATTTAGAGAAAGAGTTCGCCATGAGGTTAGGACACCTTGAGGGAGAACACCAGGCGTTGAGGGATGTTGCTCAGGACTTATGGTCGGCCCAGGAAACATGGAACCCATGGCCTGGATATGAAACCCCTCGTGCTAATTCCGCATGCCAAGAACCCCAACCTGAAGTTCATAGGATTGACACTGCTACAGATGAAGATGAGCCAAAGGCAACCGCCGCACCTGCAGCAGAAGGTTCAGTGTTGGGTTCGGTTTTCTCCGGGAGAGAAGGTGACTTGGAGTCACAGCATGTGAAACAAAAGGACTTGCATCACCTCAAGTTTCCGTCGCTCCCAGACAATGCTGGTGCGTTTCGTCAATGGCGAAACTCCGTCATTCCCATGATTGCCGCGTATGACCGTTCCCCAGAGGGCACAGTCTCAGAGTGGGTTCTGCAGGCGTTGCGCGCCCGCGCAGATGACGAAGTCAGCGACCTGAGAGTGTCTAGCGGTAATTATCCTAGGTTGGATCGGGTGATTGCGAGTGCATTGACGCGACCAGAACATCTCAAATCCCCTTTTGGGCTCAAGTTCCAGGCCTACATCGAAGAATGTGAAACGGTAGGTCGCCCCCTCCGAGGGCGATCGCTCCTTAACTTCGTGGCCAGAGAGTTTGATCCGGACTCCACGTACGCCGCTCCTGAGGGTTCCATGCAGTCGTTGCGTGCTTGGAGAGACAAGGCTCGGTTCATCCTGAGTCAGCTTCCGACCGCTGAGCGTCCCGCAGACAAGCTCCTTTCCAAATGGATCTTCGAAAGGCTCAAAAAGGTAGGACTCATGAGACGCCACATTGATAAGGTTCGAGACGCGCCTGAAGGTGCCGCGGAGAGATCCTTCGAGTGGCTGTGGTCCCGTCTAGAGCGCTGTATCTTGGAAGGCCAGCAAGAGCAAAATATGTTGTCCATTCAAGAGTCGTTGCGTAAGGGTCCTAGAAGAGACGTTCCTGCTACCCCAGCCCCCTCTGACCACCGACCAGGAAAGGGAAAAGAGGCGGGAAAGGGAAACCGGGAAAAGGGGAAAGGCAGCGGGTCAGGGAATCCTGGAAAGGGAGGTCGTGGTGACACTGCCCCAAAGAAGCCTGAAGCCAAGGCGGGTAAGGACAAAGGGAAGGGGAAAAAGGGAAACGAAGCTTTGTTTGAAAAGGCGAAGGAAGCGGGTGTTTGCGTTTTCTTCCAAAGAGATAAGTGCCAGAGAGACAACTGCCCTTTTAAGCACGAGAAGCTTCCGGTGGCTGGAGCCCCTGCGCCTGCGTCACAGGGACAGGCCAAGGCCAAAGCCGCGTCGGCGAAGGCGACTCCGAAGTCGGCCGCGGTGGCGCTGGTGGTTGCTGCAATGGCAACCTCAGTTTCGGCCACAACTCAGGGCACACACTGCACCTTGGACGTGATTGCGGACACAGGAGCCGGAGAGCACCTAGGGTCACGTGAAGCATTTTGCAGTCAGGGTGTAGAAGAACGTGTTCTGGAGCAGTTCTGCGGTACTTCAAGTAGTCACATTGCCTTTGAAACGGGAGGAGGGAAGAAGCATTCGAACGAATCAATTGGACTTTGGTCAGACTCGCTCAGACAGGTTGCGAACATGTTCATGCTGAAGTCATGTCCCCTCGTCTACTCCATAGGGCAGTTTGTGATGAACCAGGGATATAGCTTCATGTGGCCCGCAGGTGAACTGCCGTGCCTCATTCCCTCTCAGGTGGAGTATGAATTTCGCGTGGATAAGGATGCTTGTAGGTATGCAGACAGGTTGGACCACTGTGTGCCCATCTTCAAGGAGCACATTGAACTTGTGCCTGGGATGCCTGCGGGTCCGCTTGTTCCAACAAAAGCACCTGAACATATCCGAAAGTGCTCCACAAAAGTAGGCTGGCAGACTTGTAGAGAAGGCCGAGTGCTCGTGCAGCGCAAAGGGTCAAAGTTTGTCAAGCCCGCGGATGCCACGCTGGAGCTAAGGTCCACATGGCTGTTTTCAGCTAAGGATCAATGGTTCGAACTTGAAAACAAGGTAAAGTGGAAGGACCTCAAAAATCCCACCTCGGACCTTCCGTTCCCCGCGGAGATCTTGGTCTCCCAATTCGACAAACCGGAGCCCCCAGCGGGAGCCGCAAGACATGGCGGGGCTGAGGATGCGGGCCGTGGGGAGCTTGCGCGTCGCGCAGACCCCGAGCCTGCGGAGCCTCGGCCTCCAGCCGGCGGCGACTTGGAAGCACCTCCTGAGTCCCCGGTCGCAGAAGCCGAAGATGAAGAAGATTGGGTAGAGGAACTGGAAGCTAACCACTTCCTAACCCACATTCCCAAATCTAGGAAATGCGATGTTTGTCTTCGAGCAAAACTGTCTAGAGCGCATCATCGTCGCAGAGAGAACCAACGTGAGAGCCTGAGAGAAGCGAGGGCGATTGAAGAGCCAGAGGGTCCCGGTGAGAGGATTGCCGTGGATCACATGTTCTCCTATGATCAGCCTGGTGAGGATGAAGAGGTTGTGTCCTTTGTCATTCGGGACAGGTTCTCAGGAATGGTCTGGACGTATCCTGCACGCGCTCGAGACAGTGAAGAGGTTGAGAATGCGTTGCGACACTTCTGTGGTAGGAAATCTCCCATTGTGAGTGTTGCTTCGGATTGTGCACCAGAGATTTTGAAAGCAGTTCGAGACTTGGGGTTCAACTCGGAACCTAGCGCCCCGAACGACCCAATTCACAATCCCTTTGCGGAATCTGCAATCCGTACAGTCAAGCAAGGGACTCGAACGTTGCTGTTGCAGTCGGGTCTCGGAGAAAGCTTTTGGGGGCATGCTCAAAGATGCTTTGCCTTCCATTGTAACGCGACCCTTGCCCCACCAAAAGCCATTTTGGATTTGGTCAAAGAAAAGGGTTTGGTGATCGCTTCGACCAGGTATGAAGCACACCTGAAGTATCCATTCGAGGGCTTTCTGATTCCTTTTGGAGCCTTAGTTTGGTACAAAGACAAAGACGCGCGAACTTTTGCCCCACGGGGAGAACCTTCCCTGTACCTTGGACCTGTGGTCGTTGACGGCCTCAGGCACCAAGGGGTGCATCTTGTTGCCCCACTGAGGTCAGTAAAAGAGGGTGACTTTACAGCAGTCTCGACTAAGGACTTGGCAGTGCCCAATGGTCGTTGGTCGTTCCCGCTAGCCAAAGCAAGAGTGCTGGACGAGGAAAATCCTCACCACAGGCTGCCCGCCGCAGAATCCTTTGTGGCACCGCCAGAGTTGGCAGCTCCAGCCGCTGAGGCTGAAGGAGGGATAGCAGATGAAGCGCCGCGTGCCGAAAGTCCGGTAGTGGCCGCTCCAAAGAGAAATCGAGCCATTACAACCCTGAGAATTGCAGTGCACGGCAAGTCTCCCAAATGCGATGGGTGCCGGCATGGTACCTATAACCGCACGGCTGCGTGCCGGAAGCGCTTCAATGATCTGCTTGACTTCCATGAACCGTTGTCCCGGGCGGACACCGCCCATGTAGCAGAAGAAGAAATGCTGGAAGAGGAATACCGGCCTCCTCCCGAAGATGAACCACCTGCGTTCATAGGGAGCGAAGAGCCAGGGGGGTCGGAGCCAGCAATGAGTTCCTCAGGCCTTGCCGCGTGTGTGGACCTTCTGTTGGACGAGTCGATGCATGATGGCTTTCTTCCTGAAGCTGACGCGCAGCAAGTTTTCTCCTCGTTGCCCACCACGTCGGTGTTTGCGCTGTCCGCGAAGCTAAAGAGAGAAAAAGAGAAAACCGCTGCCGGCACATGCTTCGTTGAGTTTTGTTGTTCCTCTGAGAGCAACCTGAAACACGCAGCGCAGAAATTCGGCATTGAGTACTTGGGTTTGAGCAAGGACTTCGTTGACCTCACACTTGAGGAGCATGTTGCGCAAGTTGAACTTTGGATGTCCGAGCGTGAGGCGTCAGGGATTGTGATTCACTTGTTGGGCTCTCTCCCTTGCACTGCTTGGACCGCTTGGCAACACTTGAACTTGCATAAGGGAGGTCCAGAGTTTGCTGAGTTGTTGCGCAAGGCGCGTGAGCAGTCACTGGTGTTGGTGAAGCACTTCGTCCGCTTAGCCAGGGTTGCTGCCTCGTCAGGGGGGTCGGTCACGTTTGAATGGC